GCATTCTACCACTTCTCCTAACCGATGCTTTTCAACTGATTTCTAACGAAGCTTATTGTGCTATATCACGAAATGCACTTATGTCCATGATATATGCATATACCGTCAATTTTATTCCGCCTTTGATCACTGTTTGTACATGTTATATATGCATTCTTTTGAAAATGCGTCATCCATTATCAATACGTCCCTTACAACAACAAAACCGAAGAGATCATCTTGTAATTCGTCGTATTGTGATCACCATCTCCATTCTAAGTATGACGTCTCTTCTAACTATCATCGTTTTGATTATTTATATGCCTCAAGGCCGTTTCGATTTACTTTACTATCGAATAATATGGGTCTTATCATCAATGGGCTCACTTTTATTCATGTTAGGCCTTCCGTTTATCGATCCTCAAGTACGTGAATTATTCAAGAGCAACCAAATTATACCCAACATGTAATCGAATTGAATTCGATTCACAAAAGTTTTTTTTTAGTATAAATCATAGTGAAACTGAAACATGAAAATCCTCTTAATGATTTAAGAAAACAAATTTCATATTACGCATATATATATGTTGTATTTATCGTGATCTGTAATAAATAAAAGTAATTCTATAAAATGCTTAAATAAAAAGTTGTACCGCATATTTTATAAGAGTAATTGACAAGTATACTTGTGTAACAGTTAGTAGTAGGGAAAATGTGAAACTCTCTGCGTATAATGGATGTTGAAGGAGTCAATATATCTCCATATCATGACTTGGAAACGTGTAGGTTGTTTGTCTTCGCTTTACACACAAACTATACTAACTCATTCTTACTGATTTAGTTGCACACGGCGACCTCTCCTTTGGATTTCGAAACATTCCTCGTCATTAAATTCAATATACGTACTTGCTATCTATGGTATTGATGAACATATTTGATGAACGGATAATGACAATGAATAACATAAATGACCTCTATGGAAACGACGATAGTTAATACAAATGCAACCATCCATATTGTTCGAACCGGCAAAAAAGCTGTCGGTTAACTGCATTTAACCACAGCCTCAGGGAGTGTGAATGTACATTGGCGGACCGGGAACACTAGCGACTCGATGGACAAGTGTGAAAAGCCAATAAAATTCAAGGAAACGAAATAATTTTTCTTTCGTTTTCTTGAATTCAACTGGCTCAACATCTAAAATATGATCATGTATTAAGAATATAGACAGAAAGCATCATGTCTTCAACATTCAATATCTTGAGAAGGATATATTTCTTTGAACTGTAAGTTGGACGACATTCTACTAAAAATGAAAACTATTTTCGTGCGAAGCTTTAGATGAAAATTCTATAATTTGATTTCCTCATAGGTATATTGCTAGTGGTCGAAAATCTAATAAAAAAGTTACAACTCAAGAAGTGCAAGGCATGAGGACGAACGCTTCTGCCCTTTTTTTTATCTCACCATAGTCTAAAAACTGATATAGATTCGATCCAAAAGAGGACGTCACACATGCGAATCTTTCCTCGTTAGTGACTACTCGTTAATGCTACATCAATACTGATTAACTTCGTCAAGTGGAAAAACTCGAATCGTTCACTAATAAATTTATTCACTATGGGATGAACCATATGCTTGACAGCATTGCGCGAAGAATTATCTTTTATTTAATAAAAGATTGTACTCTAGCTCAAAATTATATGATGGAGTTTGATACTAATACCTTAGCAGAATAAATGGTGTGAAACAGACCTAGGGCGGGATGACCAAAAACTCATCCCATCCCGTCCCGCCTCATTCTGTCACTTGCACATAATTCTTCTTTGTTGAAGTACGAGTGAAAATAGTCCAACTAATTTATGCTTTCTTCTTCATTGTAAATCATTTACTTTACTAAAGATCTGTTTGAAAATAATATCTATATGGCAAAATTTTTTTCACAAAAATAAACAATGAAAGGTTCAATAAAAAAAAATAAAGAAAATTTGCAGAACTTTTTAGATCTATGAAAAGTTCTATCTTTTAATCGGAACCCGAAATCTTGAAAAAAGATTCTGACATCCTCACAGAACCTTTCAAAATTCTAAAAGGTTCTGTAAATTTCCTTTATTTTTTTTTTCAGAACATCCACAACCTTACCTCATATAGAGTTGGCAGAACGTCAAAGGAAATTGATCTTGTCCCATCCTGTTCTGCGGCGGGACAGAACGGGATGGGACTAATCTCGCGTCCCGCGAATCTCTGGTATGAAAGTTAGTGAACAATCTATTTCTTCATTATTTTAATCGCTTGAAAGTATTCAAGACGGTTGAACAACTGTAGGTTAGAATCAAAATTTGGTGTCCTACCTGAATATGCACTCAAAAATTTTGGATCAATCTTGACTCGACATTAAGGAGGACATCTTTCGAATATTCTTTTTTTTAAACTGTTATTCTACTTAAAAGTATTTCACACCAACGAAAGCATATGTTTTTAGAACTATAATATTATAGTCTTTTGTGAATATGTTTTCTTACATACTGTATCGATTATTGTTCAATATCAGCGAAGTTATCTTTTAATATCTTGAAAAATGGGTTCGTATGTCAAGTATCATTATAAAATCATTGTATTCGGTAATTCTGTACAACGAACATTTTATAATAGATGATATCAAACTAAATTACTATTTTCACTCGAATGAAACTATAAGCATTTTGTCAAGAATAACGTTTGACGTGAAATAGCTTTTCATTAAAAAAAAATTTAATTTTTCAAACATAATGATTCTAGGAAAATAAGTGTTTAACTGCTTAATACAATAGTCGACTTTAAAGTACAAATTTCATTCTGCAAGGTAATTTAAAAACAAATGTTTCAAACTATAATTAAAGATCCAAATAGTGAAATCAATATGAAGATTTCTACCCAAACTGATTTTTCAAGTTCTTAATTCCGGAATCACAATCCAATCTATTGAATATTTTAAAATCTGTAAAAATAATAATATCAATCAATGTCCCAATAAAGATCGCAGTGCTCATATATTACCTAATCCATTACCCAGTAATTATTGATATGGTATCTTTGGTACATAAGTGTCCAACATAATCATAAATCCAATCTGAATTATGATTGATATCAATCAATTACTTATTGTAATTCAGATCGAGTCAATTAAACAACGTATTCATAGTCAAGGAAAAAATGCTATAGGCGTTTTGCATATTACTCAAAAGGACCAGTAATTTGAATTTGTCTTATAAATACTATTTTTTCAGCTGTCTCTGGTAATGTATGTTACGTGTCAATTCTCCTCTTTCTTTTGTTTTGTTATAACATATAGTGGTCAATCGTGATTTTCTTTTTAGCACAATAAATTCTACATAATTTCTTCTCTATAATTTGTTGAATGAAGTTTTCAGTTTATTCAGTTTAAGAGAGAAATATTTTCATAGAAGTTTAATATTGCATTTGTTTATTCTTATGAATTACGTCGATAGACAATCTATCTCAATGAATTTTTTGATAGTGAGAAATACTCGATTAATCCTTTTTAAGATGGAAGTGAAACACTATTGATAATTGATATAATATTTTCTGCAAAGAGAAAATGGCTATTCGATTGTGAGATCGATCAAACTATCTTTCGTCAGTCGTACAAAGAATAATATTGAAATTTTAGATGATAATAATTTGATTGTTCACTATTTGTTTGATTCGAATTTACTCAATTCAGATTCTATGAGAACTTCAATCGCTTCTTAACTCTATGCCTATTCAACAATAGATGATTATTTTATCTAGTTGTGGATAATAACAACGTCATCAGTTTGATGTTTATCGTTACTTAGTCTCTCTATGTCAACATCAGTTATTACTCAACAATAAAATGGTTCAAATATTGTCAGCATCAACAGTAGAACTATTTCGAATGCAACTTGGACACATAGTCTGCACATACCCAATGAATATTTAATTCTAATAAAAATTTTATAAATGCATTTGAGCTAAATCAAAAATTGATTACAAAAAGTTTTATTATATCGCCACTCTGGGATCATGTACAGGTTGTACCAGAATATTATGTACCTCCAGTCTCCATCATAGACCGAAATTGAGTCGAGTGAAACCTTCACCGAACATATGTCGAGTCGAGTTTAACTTGAGGGACTCGGTTTTTTTTTGAAAGTCTTTGTTATAGAACGAGATAGTGACGCGATGGTATGATAACAGAACGAAACAAAAGAATAATTCCCTTTCGCAAGGGGTCGAATCTTGCGTCTTCCACTTTTTGGGCAGCTACACTACCACTATACTACTATAGTGTGTTTTATTTCTTTTGCCTTTACAAATGATTGTTTAAATGAATGCTAGGGTGTGAGTGTGGGTGTAAATGCATCAGCCATTACACAGCTATACGCACACCCACACCCAACGACGTTCAGCTTAAGCTGTTCGAAATTGTTAATACATCAAACTAAAGGAATTTTTTTTTGTTATAGAAATTAAAAGACAAGGCAACTTATTTTTCAAAAAATTCTTTTAATTTAAGTATTGGTGCTTCAATATAATTGATATTTGGTGTTTCTAATGCAAAAGCTAATATAGATTTTGGTTCTTGAAAACTTTATTGCTTTACTTGAAAACAAAAACACGATCAAGTAATTCTTTTACAAGTGCAGACTTTTCATAAGACGAAAGAGAATTATAAAAATGTAACTTCACAAATCGATAACATCTTCTATGTGCAACACAATTATCTCAATAATGATATTATTCTTTTTTTTGCGCTTCACTTTCATTTTTCTCATTTTAGAAATATTGGTTTGTTTTTTATTCACATTCACATTCTCTGTTACATTTCATTCAATAGAGCTTTACCACAAGGAACTGGCAACATTCCGCAAAGATAAAAATGAAACAAAAAAAAAAAAATAAAGATATTTTTTTCTAATCATAGACACATATTGCATGAACAAACATCTATATGCCAATATCTTCTTGTCAGTGCTTGAGACAATAATGTATATATGCTACCAGAAGTAGCACTTATTCATTCGACTATTGCCTTGACCTGGTTTACAGCCAAATGCTTGATCAAATTCGATGAAATTCGATGTAGAACCAATTACTCTAAGAACAAAATTCATTCATGATGATATACAGAGATGTTTACAAAAGAAAAACTACCTGAATTCAGAAGGTGAATGTGTATCATGGGTCAAATAAATGTTTGCGACTTCATCGGACATTATCTTGCACCATGTATAACCAAAATTGATAAAAAACATTTGCTCGTTGGAATATTTTGTAAGACCCGGGAGTTTCTTATCAACATTTTTCTGACTTTTAGTCCATTTTTTATAGGCCTGAAAAATAGTCAGATATAAAATTCTAATTAATAAATCAAAAAACTTACGAAGAAAGCCTGTTTCAATCCAATGATATCAGCAAGATTTTCATTCTGTGTTCGCTCACCTTCTAACTGAATACATAAAAAAAAATTACCTCTCGGAACATGCTGAAACTTGAAGAAAGATGGAAAGAAAGACCTGTCGATTAACTTGAGTAAACGTATAATTATTGTATTGATTGACAACACATTTCATGCGTTCATTAAGTGCTTCTATAGTCTCATTAGTCCATAAAGAAAACTCATTTTCATACATGCCATGATCTCGACTATTATCATCAAGACTGTGTGCAATTTCATGTCCAATGATAAAGCCAGCACCTAAAGTCAATATCAATCTATACTTTTCATCGTCGAATTCAACTTATCCCTACCGCCATAACTAAGATACCTATTAAATATATAAAATATATTTTAATATAAGAAATTAATCTCTTACTTTGGCAGATTGTTATCGAAATGAGGTATTTGAAGAAAAGCAGCAGGAATAACTAAAAAGACAATAATATATAATATCTGATTGGTAAAAGACGTTTCATACTGATATCATTCAATAATATGTAATAATGGCCATTCATAGTTGTCGGCAGAATGTGTAGCCACTCGTTTTTATCGATTGGATCATGCAATGATTGAAAATGAGTTTTTGAATGTAGTTGATTTAAATGCAAACCATTAAACGTAAAAGATGAATTGAAGTTATACTAGATTTGACAAAAACAAAAATGAAAAAATGGATAGATTAATATTCTATATTATACTTCATATTCTTTCTTAAGTTTCATCATATCATCGTTCTCAAAATAATCAGGATAACCAATTTTTCCTTTCATAGCTTGAATCTGTACAAAAATTGGACTTATTTCCAATGTTAAAATTATTTTATTGATAATCCTACTTTTTTAATTGTCATAATTTTTGATTCTGAATCCATCCATGTCGACTGATTGATCATATGGATAAATACATTTCGAATATTGCGGAACATTTTACGTGCCTATGAAAATAACATGCGATCAATAATCAAGATAAAACGAATTATTATTTTCAGTACTTCTTTTCGAGCATCTTTATTGAAATATTTTTGAACGTAGATTTGGGAAACCACCGAACTCATCGTTGTACTGAGGTATTTAGCACATCCGACTCGATGTAACTGTTCATCAGAGATTTCTTGAGAACGATTTCTATACGATTGTCCAATGCTTCGAAATCGTTTATGCATTATCGAATTTTCATTCGTGATGAAATGAAGTATCAAGTAGTTTTGCACAGTGCGTGGTGACTGACTACCAATAAATGATAAACTGTCGCGTATAATATCAGGAGCAACCACAGTCACAACATCTGTATCGATCAGAGACACATTTCCAAACAGGTAAAGACGACGAACATAATCGGTAAAATCAGACTAAATACGAATATGAAGAGAAAACAATAGACTAAATGAAAAAGAAAGTTGGCACTCACACTAATGTTGATTGCATGTGAAAGATTACTGACTGTTGTGCGGATTGTATCGTTCAATGATAGATTGCTTATATTCTTATACTACTGATTTTAAGAAATAAAACAGAAAGTGTTCATTAGAAAAGTATTTACTTCGCTAATTTTAGATGCAAATTTCTGTAGATCAACAAGGTCAACATCTTGATGTGATGCATCATCATCCGTTGCTTGAAGAGAGTTTGATAAGACCACTGAAGATAGTTCGATTATTTTCATGCCTTCGATAGTGAGGAGATGCATATCTATTAAAGGTGAAGTTGGATAAATCTAAAAGAAGCGCGCTATTCATCAACAATTTCAACTATTGGATCTCACTAGAATGCTTCGTAATGATGAGTTCTTATAATCGATAATTGTCTTTACTGTGTACAGCTTGAAGCTGTTGTATTGATTTAATTTGAACATGAGACGATAAAAGTCAAATGTTGATTCGTTCCATGCTAAACCTTCAATGAGAGGCAATCCACCAAGTTCTTTTTGGATGAATGAAAATATGGTAAGGATATCCTCAGTTTTGTTAGCGTTTCGGTTGACACATGCATTGTACCAGTGACGAGCATTAGTAATTGCTTTTGATTCTATTGTTCCATTTGATGGTGTTGATGACAGTAGATCTTCGAAAAAGAAACAGAAGAATAAATGAAAGATCGAAGATAATCTACCATACCAACAAGTGCATTCTCTAATCTTGTTGTCATTTGTAAGTGTATACTTTGAGCATCTTCTGAAAAAAAAGGTATTTAGTCTTTATATTATTAATGAAGACTTACTCTCAGCAGATATTTTTGCATTCTTAATCCATTTTCCACAAGTGAACTCATAAAAGTTTTCGCAAGGATCAATTGTTTCATCAACACTTTCATAAAGAGAACTTGCTAAGAAGACGAAAAAATATTTCATCAATGTAACTAAATATACTAACCTGCTTTTATACAATCAGGAGTTAAACATAAATCACAAGTGTCTTTAGCTAAAGTTATTGTTCAGTTAAAGATTATTATTATTATTATTAGTTTGGTTTTTTTTTCGTTGAGAGAATTCATTCAAACATACCGTTTATTCTTGTTTTACTTCGTTCGATAGTGTATAAAAAGCACAATACGATTATAATAGACGTTAATAGGGTGATAATTATACCAGATAATAATGAAATAGAACACTTTTTTGATGGAAACGATACGCTACAATAATTATAAACAAAACAGCAACATTGAAAGCATTTATGTCCTATAGATATTCTCTCGGTATCCACTTCGAAAGATGTGCTATTCACTTTTCCATCAATTCACATTCAACTTACTTTGTAGGGACAGACCTGTACGAAGTATTTGATGTGGATTTGGTGTGCATTGTTCTTATTTGGATTAAATTAATTTATCAGTCTATCTAGAAATATATATCATTTTGTAAAGCTCTTCAATCTTTCTGATTTCATTGTCACTTATATCATATAATAAAGTGATCTCTATTAGTGATAAGTTGCATGAAAGAATAATTTTCAAGCAGAAAACTGTGAATACAAATCACTAGTATGTTTTGTAATTCAAAGCAATACAAGCCAAGAGAAAATGATTTTTTTGAGGAAATAGAACAGAACAAGAAATAGATGATCTTGCTTAAAACACATTCTGTATGCAGAGAAAAGAGTGTTGCGCAAAAGTTAATCAAAGACTATCAATCAATGTGATTCAACAGAGTATTTTGAGTTGATTTTCGATGAGAAAGATGTGAGCTTGTAATATTTCGCATCTTACGATGTGAGGTATGGGTTGTAAGTACAGACGTCTTGAAAAAACTAGCATACAGATCCAACTAACTAAAGCATAGATCAATCTTCTAGTCAATGATTCTGCTATTTTCATTGATTATCTTCTGAAACATATCAGTGACTATGTAATGAGGTGCACAAGTTTATGGATGCTGATGTTACTTGCATGTTTTGTTGAAAACTCATTAATAGATATGGAGACATATTTAATATTCTTTTGGCTTTCATATAATAGTTGAAAAAATGATCACTGGATAATATTTTGAATGATAAGAAAAAGATTCATCCACGCCATTTTAGTTTGCAAAAGGGCAAGAATTTTACTTTACTAGCATTTAGAGTACTTAATAGTACACATTTATTTCACTTGGTTTACATGACTAATGATCCTTATTATAAGAACTACTACTATAACTAAATGAATAAATTCGACACAGAGAATACATTTTTCCAGCGTATCTATGATACAAAGTGCTTCTGCAGGCCTTTCTACAAGACTTCTTATTTGCTATCTTTGAAACAGTTTGTTCTTGATAAATTCATTACAATCATTAGAATAGTATATGAACATAAAAGAAAATAATTGTGCTTAGTTTTTCATTTTTGATGATCTTGTTCAGCCTCTTTTTTTTTCCTAGAATTGATTGAAAATATGAAACTATAGCTGTTCAATAAATGCATCTTACCATTGTAAACTTTATTAGAGGTTTCAATTATAGTTTGTGGAATGTCAACATCTACTTGGCTGATAATCAGTAATTGTTGAGGACAAGGGATGAGATTTATTCTCTATCAGCTTCTAGTTAATGATAAATAGCTTTTGCAGTTATTCTTAATAGTTTCACTTTACCATTATCATACTAATTCAATACAAATGGAGAGATAAGATAATGAAGAATTAAAACCCTATGTATGAAGTCTTAAGAAGCATTCTAATAGCACATATAAATTTGATTGTAAGCTCTCTAAAATGTAGATTCTGTTGATTTTAGATCGTTAAATTCAATAGCACAGCAAGCTATCATACCTTATTTAAGACCTTACTCATATTTTTTGCTTTCTTACTCGTTGAAGTTGCTGTTGTATGTTCAAAGTTTACAAATTTCAGACTGCTGAAGTTAAAATAAAGACAAAGAAACTGTCTAATTACTTCTATTTTATATGTTGTTAGGACATCCAATGTCTCAATTTATTCCCTGTTGATATCACTTCTTGCGTCATTTGAAAATAACAATGTCAAATTCCATGAAACAACTATTCTTTCTTAAAGGTGTCTTATATAAGCAGTATTTGCTTGATAAATATTACTTCTTACTGCGCAATATCGTTATAAAAAAATGATAAGCAGTTTGTGAATCATCAGATGATTAAAAGGAAAAAGTCAAACAGATTTTACTTATCAGAAGAAAAAGAAAAGTCTAGAAGTTATTATATGCAAAGAAATTCTACTGTTATGTAAGCGAAGTGGGTAGAAGTCGTTGATGTACTCTGGACTCATGAACTGAAGGGAATAAACGAGCGTATCAGTTCTTACCGTGGGTATCTGCGAGGATGTTCGTGGGTACTGAAGATATTGTTATGGGATTGAATGTTGATGAATTAATAAATATGAGTGTAGGGCTTTTCTTTAACAACGTCAAAATAGCATTCAAATCAACATTGAAAAACCATACAGTTTAGCATCAGTATCCATTCACATTCTTTCGAATCTTTTTCATTTTGTTTCTATGCTATATTATTCTTAAATGATAAGCACTGAAAAAGTATTTTATTCACACAATGTTTTGTTGCACTTAAACAAAAAATATTGTACAGAAATATTCATAACTTTAGTGTTAATCGAAGGAGCGGCTGACAAATAATTTTGTACAGCTTTTTCGTTCGCGGAATCTCGATTATTTGCGTACGCTTTTGAAAAAATTTTTCATAATGTAGTATGCATAGTATTCGTGAGAAAGATTAAATTAAAATGAAGAGAATTCAAGAATTCAACGGCCAAACAACGAATTCAAAATACAAGATTGTTCTTGATATGTATAAACTGAAAATGAAATAAAGGTATGGATGAGATGTATGAAATGCACATTCATATTCGAGGAGTAGGAGTGAGCTGTAAAAGATAGTGACTAGTCGTTTTATAGACATTGATTCCAATGACATTAAATTATCGACATTTATGTCTTCACAAAAGCTTGAATTCTCTGTCGTTCTTCATTTAGTATTCGGATGATGTCATCCATTACTATTCATTTTTGTGAATTTCTCGAATTTGATTCGAACAAGTTTGATATTAGTTGTCCCAATGAGTCATCGAAGTGCTATCTATTTAAGAGTAAAACGATTAATTATACCAATATATTCTTAATTAAATTATTGTTCACAGTAGATAACAGCATTGTATATGTTCTGATATATTCTTGGTAAGACACACTGGTAGGAAACTCAGATTAGCATAATTAATGTCACTTTCCAAATGAGATTGTTGTTTAGCTCGTATCTCCTAAAATATGTTCTTTTCGTACATTTTATTCATTTTCTTAATGATCACTTCCTATGAAATCTTTTGACTAGATGCTTGATAACAGAAAATTTCACTCAATTTTCGATCCAGTTCTGCTTATCTGCATTCATGGAATACGTCTTCCTAGTCACACTGAATCCTTTGTTGAACACACAGGTTTTTAGCATTTCTTTGGTGCGTCTTTCAGTTGGAAAGTCACATAAACACTCTCACATACTACTTTGAACACAGATAAAATTTATTGTTTATATATAAAAATAGACAAAATACAAGAAATTGGAAGAGATTTGGAGTGTATAAAATATAGAGTCTTACAAAGTTGAGTTCCTTTCAAGGTACCGTTTAATATTTTGAATAGCACTAAAATGAGAATGTACTGATAATGCTTTGTTCAGAATGATTTAATTCCTCCTGCTTTCACACTACTTGAACAACAACACCGATCAATGATATCGTATTAGCATTAACATTTTTCGGTATTTAAATGGACCAGTATATAAAATTAAAAAGAAGAAGTGTTCCGCCAGTAATATTTTAAGATGTAATTAGTACCATTGTACATGAAATATATTTTTCAATAGTTAAATTAGCACCAAGTATCATACTCACCAAAACAGTGTTCATGATCAACGGACACGAACAGCCAAATAAGTAAATAGATATTCATTATTTTCGAATGTGAAACACGTCCAGTGATAGCCAGTCATACTATTAGGCCAATTACCAACAATATCTCCGGAAAAACATTTGATGCCATTGATTATTACCTTTCACTTTAGCAATACTCTTCATGAAATCATCGAATTAAACAATATTCTTTTTCTATATAATGTTGATATTATTAATATCTTGACATCACTAGTAAATGACTCAGTACGAGTTGCAATGATTAAAATCAAACCAGCAGGAAATATGGTAGCTTGTATCATTTTTTGTATGCTAGAACCAAGATTCTGAGCTAATAGCATATTTCCACCAAAAACAATAAGAAAAAAAAGAAACCATCGCCGAATGAAAGATAAACATCGGCTGAAAACAATCTAGTAATGACAGTCAATTTCCCTAATCCTGTCGGAAAAATTTTATCACTTTTTGTTTCAACTGCCATTCAACTATTTTATATCAGATCAAAAATATTTTTAGATATAGACAATCTCTGAATTCTCCTCTTTCCAACGATATACTATTTGCCATTTATGTCATATCTTTTCATGAAGAAATCACCAGTCAACGAAAAGCAGTTGCACCCGACAGAATTAGG